GTGGTTATATGAAAAAAAAAAAAAAAAAAGATTAATTGTATTTTAGAATTAACGAAATGACAAGTCAATTGATCTTTTTAAATTTGAGTAAAACCGCCATTAAAAATTTTAATACAACAAGCCGAAATAGCTCAGTTGGGAGAGCGTTAGACTGAAGATCTAAATGTCCCCGGTTCGATCCCGGGTTTCGGCAAAAATTTCTTCTTTTTCCATCTTTTATTCTTTTACGAATATTTAAATGTTATATTCGAATATATTCTACTCAAATTTACCAATACTTTTTTCGTATCGTCAGATGTTATAAATTAAATCAAATATCCATGTAGAATTATAAATGGATCTCTTATATTTAAAATATATTTTATAATTTTTGATTATTATTTAAACGTTTACAAAAATTTTCAATAATGAAAAATCTTTTTCTGTAAAATTATTTGCAACCATGTTTACGGTTCAAATAATTCTTTGAAACTGGTCTACTACGTTGAATGCGTCTGACAGCGACGAACAATCTGTCATGCGAGTAAACAGGGGGAAAAAGCTGGTTTTTCGACGGGAAACAATATGCAGTTTGAAATTACGACGCGTAAATAATTCACGAACAAACAAAATCAAAATGAGAATTTCCATAATATGTTTTAGTAGGAGTTGATAACCAATTTTGTTAAAACGTGGATTTGTTTCAATATATAATACAAGTCATTTTATAATATACGTAATATATGTATGGAATTTTATATAATTGAGAATATGATGAAGCTAAATGATAAAGAAATGGAATTCCAAATGTTATTGTTTTTAATTATTATATTTATTTATTTTTTGATCACATACGAATTTTAATTTTCGTGAAATGTAATTTTATTCATAAAATATTATTTAAAAAGATTATTTCTACCTTTGAAAATTGTATAATATAATTAGTTTTTATCGTACTTTTTTTTTTTCAAATAACGTTACTGAAACATATTAAAACAATATGTCAAAAGTTGCTCGTATGTATTCCGATAAAAAAATTTAATCCCCGAATGTAAAAAATAGTCGCAACACGTAGTTCATATTTTCAAAGTTAGAAACTTTTAATTAAATTTATTGGACAAAATATATGCACTTTTTTGAAACGAATAAATAAAATTCACAAGATATGCATAACGAGAAGAGATTAGAAACGCATAATATACTTTGATTCAATATAAAAATGTATTAAAATCGTCGCTTTGATAAATCACTGATATTTTAACAAAAAGGAATAATGCGATTACTATATCATAGATACAATTACATTAAAAAAAAAATTCTTCGAACAACTTACAAACACCATTATAATCCTCATAAGCATCGTATACCAGAAAATTACTTTTCTCCATAAATCTGTTTAAACACCGCAAGTTCAGATTTCACGTCCTCGCGTGCCTGTTGCGCTGCAACGCGCGTGTATGCATACTCTCGAGCGTGATGTGCACACACGTACACGCTCGATCCGAGTCTCACGTTACGCAAACGACGAAAGAAAAAGCCTGGTCGGATGTCAGAATTTTATGGCGACAAGAGGCTGCGGAGTCTGTTTCCATGGATCTCGTGAACGAAAACAGGGAAAGGCACTTTTTAAATTCGAGAAAAAAAATCGCGTGCGGTTAGCAATGGCCATTTGTGCGTTCCGATTGGTCGACGCTCGCACGTGCGCATAACCCCTTTTTCGGACAACGATGCAAAGGGACTCGATGCGCCGTGCTCAGTCGGTTTCGATCCTTGTAGGAGGGAGGATGTTGTCCGCTCGTTTGCCGGCGACGAAACGTCAAGCGAAGTTTGGTTAACGTTTCTCGCTTCCCGATATCGAAAATATTATTTGTTATGGGACGATAGGGGTACGCGTCGGATCGTGTCGGATAGTTGGACGTCGAAAATCGAACGTGGCAACGTTACATCGTTCGCAAATGTTTACGTGGTAAGAGCCAGTGCACGGACTGAGAACACAAAGGGGTTCTTCGCGATTGTGCGACGTTTACACGTGCGTTCCTACGATATATATACGATCATCGATCGATTTGGCGAGTTGGTCTGTCAGCAGGGCTGCGGTTCGAATCGAGTGAAAAATGAGAACTACATCGTTGCTCGCTCTCGTTGTCTGTCTGCAGTGCCATATCACTGGTATCATAGCTGGTAAGTCATATTTTTCGTCCATTTATTTGTCTGTTTGACATTCGGTGACAGATCACGTGATTCTTGAACGTAGAAACGTGTCGTAATTAAAATATACACGAATGATGATATAATTATATTTTACTTTACGTATCGAATGAAATAATTTTCTTTTGAATTTTTCATTTTTTTCTTCTGTTCCGTTATTTTTCGACTTGCGAAATTTAAAGAATAATGTTTTTTCACCGATGTTGAACAGATTTCAATTTTCCTGTTTTTAAATATATTATATTTCTTGTACTTCAAAAAGGAAAGTATAATATTCTCCGGCATAAACGGTTTAAAATACGAAGCGAAAATAAATATTTGCATCAAGCACTATAGGTAGAAGGCAAGACAGGGATAGAACGTGACAAGTGATGTAAGACCTCTATTATCATATTTTACTCGTTACCCGACATTTAAGACGTTATATTAGGCGGGCAATATTTTTATAGTAAAATATACGAGATCCAAGACAAGAATTTAAATTTGAATAAAAATTCAATTACTTTGTTTCATTTCACTCATTCAAAGTATTTTTCATTTATCTTACCAGAAATGTATCAAAATTCAATAAAAAAGATATTTCTACATCCTATTAAACATACAATCCCTTGTTTATACTATTCCTTCACGTCTTTAAAATCAGTCGAATCTCTAATCGAATTTTCCTTGGTGAGGATATTTGTTTAAAGTCACGTTTCATATTCTACTAGGTTCATTTTTGTTCCTCGTGCACGGTCGCGAGTGAAATACAATGTGAATGCTGCTTGTGGCCGTCTGTGCATTCGAGATAAGATACTTTAATCCGTCGGTATAATGCATTCGCGATCGTAAACGAGAAAATTTCTTCGAATAAACGATTACAAGGAAACGAGGAAAATATTGTTTTGTTAATATAATCTTTCTACAACACACGTCCAAATTGCTTAAATTTTTCTTCCCTCATCGTTGCAACCTTTTAAAAGTTGAATATATTATTCGAGTGACGATGAAATTTCACAGATTTTTTTTTTTTTAATCAAAAATATATGATAAATTAACATCGCTACCAAAGTGAAAAAGAAAAATTTACTTGTCCAAAATGTTATGTAAAAACGAGGAATTGTTTACCGATAAAATTTTATCCATATTTTGTGACTTTTTTAATGTATATAAAAAAAAATCTGTACGA